TCGTCTATTGTACATGGTTTACTCTAATGTTTATAAATATTATTTTCAGGGGTAAAAATGATGACTTACTATAAGCCTACTACAGCCATAGACACAGGACCATCAACTAGTAGACCTGGTGGTGGTGGTAAAGCGTCTCCTTAGTTTGTGGCCAATTATTATCATTTTCCAATAATACGAAGCTGATACGCTTTGAATAGAAAAGCCATATATATAGATATCAATGTAATTTGATTTATGTCGTCAAACGGATCGGCTCGGTACGGAGCTAGGGGATTCTGATTCTTTGTAATACCATGTAAGATTGAAAAATCTCCATGAGGAATTCTGGTTATATATAATTGTGTATTTGAGGCTGACTCATATCTTAGGATATCAACAAAACGGATTTAAACTATATACAAATCATACGCGATTCTAGACTTTTTATATATTTTTCGAACATCATCTGTAATTTATAGATGAGTTTATGCGGACGATTCTGATTCATGCAAAGTGATTATCTATATACAAGGAGGGTCTTGTAGTTTGGTTTGGAACTTTTTCGTAATTGGCTTCTCTTAATATCATTTAGATTGTGGTTTTCGTTTAATGTTAGGCCAAATTTCAAACAAATATGTTGCACTTGATTTACAAAAAGCTTTTCGAGATGAATAAATTTTACATTCTATTCAAAAAAAAAAAATTATATATATATCAGTTACTTGAAAAATAATCCATTATACATATATTAAGGTCAATGGCTAATAAGAATGAAAATATGTTGCAATAAGTCGTCGATAGTAGACTTCATAGTTCAACGTTGACATAAAGACGATTCAATAAAGCATTCTAAGCCATTCATTACTGATGTATAACTAAAAGTCCGAAGACTGGCCAAAAAAAAATCCAACAAAAACAAGTTTAATTGAAACTTCAATGTATACTAATTTCCACAATATCTTCGAATCTAAGAAGTATATAAATTTATAAAGATATGTCACAAACTAGTGCTGCATTTTTAATAGATTTTCTATCAAATTTAAAACGCAGTTTTTATTATGTCACTAATTCGTACTATATTTATTAATTTGGGACAATAATTGAAATATCACCCATCTTCTATTTTTATATCCATCCGTCGTAGTTGAATGGATAACCTGCATATAATTGCATAGTCTGATATTTATGTGAAACCGTACAATTTTTTTATTTGACTGGTCTATTACAAACTTCAAAGTCAACTTAATAAACCATTCTAAGCCATTCACTTTTGTGTAATTAAATCCGAAGATTTCTGCCCCAAAAGTCCAATTAACAAAAGTTTGAATCTTCAAAGAATAAGATGGACGTAAGGACGTTGTAGACAAGACTACATTTTCTTGTTGCAATGTAGTTATGTAAATGAGGATATAGATTCAACTGGCAGAGAAATGAGTATATTTCAACATATATAAGTTTTTAAAGGTTTTTGAAAAATTTTATTCAATGTATTCAAATAGTTGTGTGCCATTACATATATTAACATAT